TCTTTCAATGTAGGCTCTTTTAAGTCAAAAAAGGGTATGAAGGCAAATTAGGTGTGATTAGAGAGGAGTTCTCTCCTAACTGTATATGTTTATTTGGGTCACTCAGAGCCATTTTAAGGAAGTTGTTTATTTCGTCAGGGGTAGATGTTAACTTTCCATTTCGTTTATCACCTAATAATTTCTTAGTGAAACCGTATGGATTAGAGACGAAGGCTAATCGTTTTGCCGCCTTTCCTTCCTTCTGTTCCTGTGCCATTCTGCTCTTCGTAGAGATTTCATTTTGGAACGGATTATGTCACGGAGTTCTTGCAGCGGTCCCTTTTCTTCCGGTTTTGCTTTCTTATATTGCTTTCGGATAGCTCTTAATTCCGCTCTGCATTGTTTGATTTTACTTTCCCTTCGATTTTCTGAAGTTTTCTCTTTCGTCTTCCTTTCCTCGAATCCGAAACGCTCTGAAGCATAACTAACTATGATTTTCGACATAGTACTTAAACGGGTATCCACCGAGCCTTTTGAAATTATCTTTAGAATTTCGCTAATATCTAAATCAAAGTCGTGCCAGGCTTTTTTGTCTACGGCCGCAGGCCATTTGATCTTTTTCCGAAATGTCTCTGATGGTAATTCTGGAGATACTTGTGCCTCTGCTTGGAAGAACTGGACTCTGTGGTGAGCTTCCCGGCCCTGCATTTCCTGCGACTCATCAGGAGAGTTCCCTGTGCGCTGCAACTGGCTAGTTTCCAATTGACATTTCATTTTGGCTTGATGGATTTTTAGGCCGCGTATATTCTTGCATTTTTTCCCGCATGGGCAAGTCATAATCATTGTCCGTGGGTGAGATGCTTGGTTCGTCTCTGGTTGATCCGTCCTAATAGGGATCTCATTCTCCCCCCCTCTCGGGATCCCTTGGGGGTATTTATTCTTATTTGTGTCTGTAGCCAAATTTTGATCTGCATACTGGGTAGCTAGCCCAGGAATGCTTTAAATTGTGGTCTCTCCTCACCGTCAATTGACTTTCCAATTTGTCATCTAGTCTATTCCTAGTAGTCATCCGGCCTTTCCCGGACGTCACTGTCTTGACAGGAAAAACTGCTTTGAATATACGCTCCTTTAGCGTAGAGGGCGTCGTCAGTGATGTTCTAGAAAAGGATCATTGGACAGTTTCGGGTCTTTCAAACATCATACTGACCTCACAAATTGACCCTTTTAGAGCTGATCAGACTCTGAAACGCCCTCTAAAGAAAAATGCTTGTTTGTGCTGACTTTTATAAGAATACCCCGTAATCTCACATTTGATTGGAGATTGACCAACAACCAATCACAACGGTGCGAGATCTATTTATTCTATTCTATATATATATATATATATATATAAAAAAACAGATGCAAACTATGCCTGGAAGAAAAAAATTAAAATAATTAAGTACAAAAATACAAGCCAGTTATTGAACCAGAGAAATGAAATTATACTTAAATGTCATCATAAAAATAAGTTTATATAGTCTTAAAAATAGACATTTATTTGGCATCAAACACGGAAAAATATATATTAGGTTTGTAACTATGTAAGTTTATATATATATGTATGTGTGTATTGTATATGTGTGTATCTATCTATTATTTTTATTATTATTACTTTAAATATATATCTTTTTTTTTTATTACTATTAAATGATGATGATGTTTAAATGAATAACAACATAGATTGCATTTCTGTGATTTTTATTACTGGTTGCGCAGTTAAAGTTTTATCCATAAAATTTTCCCCTACCTTCCCTTACTGCAATATTCTCAAAAAAATCTAAAGTAGGATCTGTAATGTAATCAGTACTGAATTAGCTTCTTGACTTCAGCCATTTTCTTACAGACGTGATGTGGCTTCCCTCTGTCTTTTCTACAAATATTTTAATGGCTACTGCACTGATGAGCATTTTTTCCCTGGTGCTCTGACTACATGAATTTAAGTGTACTACTAGATTGGCATCTAGGTCCCAACTTTTTACTGTTGAAATAGTTAAATGTAACCGCCCTTCTAACAGTTTCTTTCCTCACACTTCTCCATATTGGAACTCCATTCCTCTCACTTGCTTCCCTGATACAATCATCAAAAACCTAAATGCAACATCAGTCACCATGTTTTGTTGTGTTGATACCTGTTCTTTTTTCCTTTCTTCAATCCCCCCTACACCCACTCTTTTCTCTCATTTTCACTCTCCATAACCCCTGTGTGATAATGGCACTTCTGACTTGCTTGGGGTGAAATGCTTAAAAAAAAATATGGAGATATGTAATGTAGAATGACCTGAATTATATAGAATATTGACCTCAGTTAAATTGAAGTGGAAAATTAGGAAAGAATATTCTTTAATAAAAATAAAACTTCTATTAATCCAATATTAAGGGATATAATAATATATTTAAATTAAAGAGAAAAACGGAATTAATTTTTATTTTAAAAATATATTGATTTAATTATTTTCTACTTATGAAATGCTTCATTTAAATTCTTCATTTGAAATTAAATAAAAAGAACATATATTAACATATTAAACTATTAGTATATTCAATGAAATGAAAAATCAGAAGATTTAAAAATTTTAAAAAGCAAATCAATAATAGAGGAAAAGTAAATGAAAAATAAATTTTAAAAATCTGCACTTAAAATTTTGTGTATTCTTCCGTTTTTCTTTCTTTTTTCTGTCTTTCTTTTTTTGCCTGGTTTTTAAATTTGTTTTTAATCCAGTTTCATTTTATTTTTTCCTATTAACATGATGGGTTTGAAAATGCCCCAGATTAACTTTAATTTGGTGGGTGAAATGATCATAATCTTGATGTAATCTTAATTTCTATTGTATGTTTATATATATATATATATATATATATATATATATATATATATATATATATATATATATATATATATATATATTTTCTTTCTGATCCCGGCCTTAGATGCATATCCCCCTCTTCTTCTTCTCCATCTATTCCCTTCCCTATTTTGAATACTTATGCCTGGTGACTATTGTATTTTGTTAATGTTATAAAGATTACCATTTTATTTATTCCTCATTCAGTAACCTTTCTTAGGTTACAACATATATAACTGTGTAAATTAAATTCACAAAGTTTAAAAATGATTAAATTTCTTATCACTAAATTTTTTTTTTTCTGAATCAGAAGAGAAGCAGAATTTTTCAGCATTTAATCAGATGATAAAGGTCTTTTTTATTTTCAAGGAATAACTTAATTAAAAAATAACCTAATTTTGTGTATGAATTTTCTATCAGCATCATGACTTTGGTAAACAGTTTAATTGCTGAATAAATTTTCTAAAAATTTTCCTTTGCCTTTAATTTATTAAAAAATGAAAAAATAGCCTTAAGTTTTGCTTTTGACAAATATTTTAATTTTATTCATAACAATTATCTCAGCTTATTGTTTAAGATAAACAAACCATTACTTCACTTATTACTATATGCAAATAATCAACCTGTACAGCTGTAATGTTGATAAATACCTGTATATCTTGTGGATATTTAGTTCAGAACAATATCAAAATCATCAAATACATGCATGTTCAATGCTTGAAGAGAAATTTCTTAAGATATATTTCTAACCCTGATAAGCATATATGGTACCTGTCAATATGAGTAAAATAAACTGTTAATCTACAAAGGTGTTATTGTCAAATAATCTTTTATAAATGTTTGTCTTTTTTTTTCCTTACATATAATGCATATAATGGATTAAAAATGTATTATATTCTATTCTAGTCTTGTCAACAGCAATCACAGTCATCAATTCTAATTCTCAGGTGGATAATGTACCTGAGTTATCAGAGATTTATCTACTGGACACTTCCTCTTCATTGAATTTAAAAGGAAATTTCAAAATTTTTCTTCATATCGATAATTAATATCAGTGTTACACAATTTTTTTTTAAATCTCTCTCTGTATGATATCCATTAGGGTGTGGGTATTCATGGTTCTCTACAGCTTCCTGTCTTTTGTTGCTTGCTGTAATCTATAATTTATCATGGGCTCTATGGTATTTTCAATATTAATCAGTAGAACGTCTTTCCTTAATTTGTAATGAAATTGTCCAGTAATCACTACAATATTGGGGCATATATATTACAAGGCAGTCCCTCACTTACTCAGTTTCCAAAAGGTATCTTTCACTAAACCTATGCACCTTTGAATTTCCGTGTCTCACTTTTCCTCATCTGCTATTACACTGCCAAATAGTTGAATTTCTTCACTTGTTTAAATTTGACATCCCCCAATGCATAACTCACATCTTGAGCTTTTACTCACAGCCATTAATTCTCTTTTCTTACAATATTTAGTTCATTTTTTTGCCTGCATTGACTTCATTTTTTAATAGTTGGGTCAGTTTTCCTTTTGAATCTGTTAACAGAACATTCTGTTAAAGTTACATGCACTGATAATAAATCTTGATAGGACCTCTAATTTTCTTCTATTCCTTAGTGTCATATTAAAAATAGACTTATTTGTCCTGTTTCACATCATTTTAAAAATATCCACACATGCATTGTGGTTGGAAAGTGCTCATTTTTTCATACTAGAATTAAATATACTAGCCTAATGACTGAGGAATATGAGATAAAATGCTAAAGAATTGTTAAAACTGGTTTCGGTAGATTTAATAATTTCAAGATTTATTTTTAATTATTTCAAAATCCCAGTAAAATAAAGACTCACTGGAAGAGTATAAAGCAATTTCATAATACCTGTGTTACCAACAAACAAAATGACACAACTCATTAAAGCAATACCATAAATCCAGAAAAGTAAATGCTAGAAATTGGCCAACAGAATTTTAAGCCTATTGTTGGCTTTAAAAAAAAAAAAAAAGTGAAATAATAAAAAAATGGTATTAGTTTTTTTAAAGTTAGTCTTCATTGAATTTTCCTGGTTTTGATAAAATTTATTTTTTAAATAATCTTAATATGTATAATTTTTATTGTTTATTTTTACAGGTACCTATTGTGGATTCCAGTAGTATTTTTAGTGATGCATATGATTTGTCTCAAATCCTTGAACAGTATACACAAAGAAATGGTAGGAGAAAAATTCTATTGATATAAAAAAATCAGTAATTGAAAACTATCAGAAAAATATTATACAGGGATTTGTTTCAGCTAGTGTCCTCATCTTTATTGCTATTACATTTCACTTACTATGATCTCTGACCTTCTTCAGGGGTGTTATAATTGGTAACCTTCCAAGAATTTCAAACTTTTTCATTCTATTGCCTATGCTAGAGAATATATCCTCTGTTGTTAATTTGATCTTATATTGTTTTTCTCTTCCACTGAATCAGAATATGACTATTTCTCACTACCTGACCAAGAATCAAGATCTCACCTGCCAGGTAATTCAGTTCACTTAACCAAAATCTTTATCCACTTGGCCATGTGTCTTGTAGGATAATTTAGTGGTGAAAACTTGGAGCTTTAAACTTAATATTGCTATTCATTCTTTTTTATTAAAGGCTCCCAGATGGTGTTCATTTCTATGCTTGGCCTACTGAGAAAGTTGTTTGAGCCTAGCATGTGCACTAATTCTTTAAGACTCCAAGTTTCCATCACTAAATTTTCCTACAGATTACAGCCTTGTGAATAAAAGCATTGGTTAAATGAATTAAGTTAATTGGCAATTATGATTTCTGAGTGAGAAAAAAATCAACTACACTATGAGATATCTGACAATCAGAGGTTACAATAATTGAAACATTGTGACAATAACCAAAATCTTAGTCCAATCAAATCTGTGTATAATAGTAATTTCTCATTTTTAAAAATTCAGACAAAAATTATCAGAAAATATATATGTATACATGTACATGTTTGAATTAAAACCTATCTATAATTTCATAAAATTTTATATTTCGGAAATAATTCCATAATTCAGATTCTTGAAATATGAAATTTTATAAAATGCCAAAGTAACTGTTTTAATTTAAATATGTTGTTTATTATCACATTTTGGCTATTGTACCCTTCAACCTTCATCAGGTATTTGTCAATCTGGATCTTTCAAGGAATTTCAAATTGAACTCTTTATTTAAGCTATGGGGGTACATTTTCTCATTCTGCTGACCTTGTATAATAATATATATATATATATATATATATATATATATATAGTTCTTTATTTAGTACTGCTTAGTTGTTGCTTACTCTTTTTGTGAGCAGTACTTAATAAGAACTAGATGATCATTGGATCAAGAACAATCTACCCCTGTAGCTTAAAGGGTTTAATTCAAAATTCCCTGAAGGTTACCCAGATCAACTAGCACATGATGAAGGCTGGAGAGCACAGTGGTCAAAACGTTGATATAACAACAATGATGAGGATAATAGTCTGCATTTAAATAATGATAAATCCTCACTCCAAAATTCACAGAAATTAAGTCATTTTGTCTATATGATTGGAAGGGATGGCATTGCATTAAAATTTCAGATGTTTAGTAAAAATCTCAATGGAATACATTCTGATATATTATTGATTGTATAAAATATGATTCTTGAAACTAGTTCCTTACCTCTTCCACTTTTAGATTATTGAAATAAATACTTGTATGTAGATGTCTGTAGTAATTTGTATTATTTTATTATGCATTACTGTAATTGGTAGCATGATTAAAATTAAATTTCTATAAAATAAAGAAAAATATAAATCTTTTCTTACTCCAAGATGAGGTATTGTAACTATTTTACAAGGACACATGGCACAGTGGATAAGTGTTGATTGAATAATCCAAAGAGTAACTTGACCCAAAGAGTTGAGTTCAATGCCTGGCAGAGGAAACAAAAACTTAGTGTTGAGTTACTAAAGGGAATTAACTGAAACTGAGATATCCAAAAAAGGCATAATACATGGAATCAGAACAATCTATGTTCAAAATTCCAGCATATATCACCTGAAGAATTAGATGCTAGGACATACAACAGCCAAAACATAGCTTAGATGTGGCACAAGGCCGAATGTATGGAGCACCCAGTGAGGATTGAACTCGCTATTCTGTCATAACTGTTTTAGCAAGACAAGCTTGCTAACTATTACACTATGCCAAGGTGCCTCTCCATTCACCAATTATATAATAATAATTCTTCATAACTATTTTAAAATTTTAGAAAATTGTTCATTTGAATGCAGAAAAAATACACCCTTCTGGTCTTGTTCATAAGCTTTTAGGAAACATCAAAAGAACAGACTCCTTTAACAGAAATGGCACTTGTCTTTACTTAATACTTGTTGGCAGTAATAAAAATACCTTTTACAAAATGGCTTTATCATATTACAGATATTCAAGGTGTAGAAGAAACTTTAAAAATCAACAAAAATTGTATTGTAGTGTTCTTGAGAATGTTAAGAATTTGATACTCAGGAGTACATTTGATAAACTATTTAATATGCACAGAAAAGGTACTATATTTTATGTGTATTTTAATATACCAATTTTAGATGGTATAATTACATTTTTATTGTACATTTAAGTTACTGTGTATACTTTCTTCTCCCATAATACAGTGACTACTGAACTTGTGGCTCCTTATTACACATGGATTGTTGGACGTGGAGCTGGACGGCCATTCATAATTTCTGCCTCAATAAAATATCCAGAAGATGAATTTGTGTATCCTTAATTTAAATTATAAAGAATATGAATTCTTAATCATTATATCCAAAAAGAATTTTTTGTTCAATTTTCCTTTTGAAAAACCTCTTTTACGTGAAATTTGTTATTACTGTATTAAAATGTTTTACATCCATTAAGACATTTTGATACAGTAAGTATTACATCTTGGCTTTTGTCTTTATACTGTTATATTCCTTAATCCTATCTTGTTATAACCCAGGATTTCTGTACCAGTTAAAGTGGGGTTGGGTTCAATATGTGTCTGTCTTGGTGCTGTTCATCATCATTTTTGAAAAGTTAAAAATTTTCATCTTCAGCAGTCGTCTGGTGAACACCATTGTAATAAACCCCTACAAATCATGTGGATTAAAATCATCTTGAAAATGCAGAGATGAAAAAAAAAAATCTCTCAATTTTGTATCCTTCAAATGATCTGCAGGTTCTCCATTGGCTTAAACAGGTTTTTTTTTTTCTTTTTTTTAAAGAAAACTAAAAAAAAACAAATTTCTGACTGGTTGGTTCAACCAAGTTTCTTTCTGTCATTTAAAACATATATTTACTATTTATAAATATATATATAAATATATATATATATATATATATATATATATAAAATTTCAATCCCAAAGACATTAAGTTTCACCCAATGAAGGCTTCATAGTATGAAACTTGAATGACATTCTGGGTCTGGATTCCAGATCTGAGTGAATTTTATTAACAAATTTCCAGATTATTCAGCACTATGTATTTTATTGAGACAGATTCCTTTGGTCTTTTTATTTTTCTCTGCTGGCTTAGGGTTTGTTCCTTTTATTGCTTTCATTGTTTCTGTATGTATATAATTAACACTAACTTTTTAAAATTGGCAGTTAAAAAGTGCTCAATAATAAATATAACTTTTACAAAATATAAAACAAAAGTATGTTTACCACAACTAAAGTTTCAACCTGAAATGGGGATAATAAAGAATTAAAGATTGATAATAGGGTGGAAAAATGTTATGCCAAAGACATGTTTTGTACATTGTTCTTTTTTACTTAATTTTCTGATGATTTTAAAGAAATATATTCTGTCTTCTACTTTACACTCTAACTTTGTCCCATATTATAATTATTACACTCTCAGAATATTATGAATTTTGAAAGTACCACTCATTATTGGCTTTAAATTATTTTTCCTTGATATTGTATTCATTGCTACTAACTTAGCATCAACGATACAGTTTTAAGTAATAATCCAATATTATATTCGCTAATATATTTTCCATATTGTTTGTCTCAAAACTAGTCATGGTCCTTTTGATTTTCCTCTCAGCATGAAATAAAGAGATATATTTTCATGACTACTTGTGTTCCACTTCAGCTTCCACAGAATTGATTTCCAGCCTCAATTTTCTCTTGCAAATTACACTGGAGATTTGACATTAATTATTGCCAAGTTTAATGTTAGACATACTTTTTTCTTTTTAATTCTTAGATCTATAATTTACTAATCTAATAGGCAATATTTTACTTTATTACTAACTAATTTGAGTCAATAGGAACTGAGTCATTCAACTGACAGAAAAACTAAATATACAGTATAGAGAAACGTGATTTAATAACAGAACATCTGTAAAAATTTATTTGCATTTACAAAACCATTTTCGGAAAAAAAATCATATTAAAATATAGAAAAATATATCAAAACATAATTCAAGTTACATCACCAATTGATGATAAAAAAAAAAGTGGAAAAATGGTAGTTTAATAAATAATACAAATCTCATTATCCTGACCCCAGTTTAAATTACCGTCAATATATTCCATAGTTTACTTATATAAACAGAGGAAAAAAATAGTTTGTTCAAAAGAACACAAACAATGCCTGCTTTTTTTATTAGTTTTCTTTTGTAACATTTGTGATAGTTAAAATTTAAATGATCATATCCAAAATAGTCTTGGTGTCTTGCTATGGGGTAATAATGAACAAGGCCAGTGTTTTCAGTGTTATACTTGTAATCTTGTGCTAGACAAAGCTGATCAGAATAGTGATGAAATAATTCAGATACAGTTGAACTCCAAGAGGCATAACTACTTTTCATAGTCAATATAATAGATTGAATTAGACAATTGTTTGCTTCAGCTGATCCTTCTTGCTATTGGTTTCCAAAAGGAATAGCTAATAAATGTAAATAGTCAATGACCAAAATTAGTATAACTTTGATGGTTCTTAATGAATCACTATAGTCAGTGATCTAGTAAATAGATGGAGAAGTAACTCAATGGTACAATATCGAGCTAAAAAGTTTCAGCACTCTGAGGTTCTACTAAGAAAAAAATTTAAATTAAGTAATAACAAATGTAACAGTTTACATTCTGCAGCAAACATTTTTCTTCTTTTGTAACTCAATCCTGATTACTATGCTTTGTTTTATTTTGTAATATGTTATCTTAAACAATATATTAAAAGCATGAATTTGAGTTTTTATATACATTTCAACATCTGGCATTCTGAAATAGCTAACCCATTTAATAGAGATTGAATATAGATCTAACAAGGATCAGCATTTCTAATGATGTATGGTCAAAAATGAATAGATTTCTTTTGTTTTCCTTTTTAAAAGCATTTTTACTTATTCTGCAATTGAAGAAACTAACTTCATTTCTAAAGTAAAATGAAAATTTTTAAAAGGTGTTAAATTCCAATAAAAAGCCCCTGTCTTTGTCAACCAGACTAATAACCACCCCCTCTTAGTTTTAAAACTAAAAAGAAAAAGTTTCCCCCTTTTTTTTTTTTTTAAATACTTTAAACTTATCAATATTATCAGTCTGCATTCGATTTTTGCTAAACATGTTTATCACAGACTTTTATATAATTGTACATATTCTGGAAAGATATTTGTTAAAATTTCTTTTTTGTTCACTTTTCCCATGGTATTTCGTGGCATAACTTTGAGTTGCTTTAGAACTGTTGGGATCTGATATGATGGCAAACGGTCTTCAGCCCACTTCTTTAATTTCTCCAGAGGCATTTTTGTAGCATCATTCTTTAGTATAACAACAGCAGCAATACGTTGACCCCATGTAATATCTGGAAGTCCCACCACTGCACAATCTATAATCTCTGGGTGGGCCAACAAGTGGCGTTCAATATGTAGGGCACTTATCTTGTATCCACCACTTTTAATGATGTCTACTGAAGTCCGACCCATTATACGATAAACTCCATTTTCATAAAGGGCTGTGTCTCCTAAAATGAATAGAAAAATATTTATTAATGGCAACAATAAAATACAATTCTTTAAATAAGTATTTAAAAATGGTTTCTAATATTGTATGTTATAATAACTTCTTTCAGCTTATATATTAATTCATTCAGGACCATATTCTCATCTACTCACTTTCTTTTTTTTCTCTCAGAGCTGTTGAGGCATAACAGCTAATAAAAATATTGTTTCTATCATGCTGGCAGTTGAAGGCTTAATATTCCTTTGTTGATTAGAAATAGTTGAGGATAGAAAAAAAAACATCATTTTCTGCTTGGACATCTCATTTATTTATTTAGTTGCTCAAATGAATTTGTCATTATCCCCATAATTATTAATGATTCTAAATAATTAACCACAATTTATATTGCATTTTTACTGTAAACAAACTCATGGCATTCTAATCTATCTTATTTAATTATCAATATGAATTTATTTCACTAATACAACTCTTCATTGACAACCAAAATAACCAAGATTATTTTCAGTTTTTTTCTCCAATGTATTTATTTTTCTTTAGGGCATAAATTACATCAGTAATCATATCTGTATTTCAAACACAATCTCCTATCTCTTTTTCTTTTCAGACTGGATATTGGTTAGTTTTTATTTGATTACTAAGATTTATTTCAAATCATGTTTGGACAATTCAACTCTTTTGTTTTTGGTTAATCTATTCTTCAGCATTTATCAGATGTATAATCCATAAAAAAGCTTATTTCTTCAGAAAATGGTGATTTTTTTTCATTTCCTTAAGGATTATACACCAGGTGAAGGGGAAAGAATAGACTGGCTGAAATGTTGTAGTAACAACATTAATGAGTTCAGTTTTTCAAAATTCTTCTCAATGTTACAGATAATAAAATTAGAAGTTATACTGGAATTTTTGAAAAGAGGAATTATTATTATTCATTCTGGTTGTTATTCTTTTTTCTTAATCATTTCATCCCATGCAAGGCAGTAAAGCAACAAGGGGTTGCTGAGTGCGAAAGAATAAGAAAACAGAAATATTATTAAGGAGTCATCCTAACAGTTACCATTAGAGTATTTATAGAAAAAGCACAAGGAAGCAACTTTATGGCGGAGGGAAAGTGACTGAAGTTGAGATTCCAATAACATTGCAGATTCTTTGGATTTTATCAAGAATATCTAAATATATAGCAGGAAAATCTCATAGCAATTAATACTGTTGTGATTTTGTTTTTACATTGCTTTCCCATCTCTTTAATAGAACCAGAGTATATGACTTTTCAGCACTATCCGACCCAGGAATTGAACTGACAATTGTCAGGGGACCAGATTCAACCCGAGTCTGTTGAAGAGATGAACAAGCAAAACAAAGGATAGAATTAACTGATACAAGATATTCTCTATTCAAAAGGGCTTGGTTCAAAATTCCAAGTTTACATGTATGATAGCTATTAGAGGTGCAACAGCACAGAATATATGTTCAGTTTTAACATCAGGTGGGTGGAGAGCAATACTTGATGCTATACACTTTAGTGTCAGGAATTTCTGTTTCATTGTGTCAAATACCAGAATTTCTTCATATCTTTTAATAAAAGCTTCACAAGTTAGATTTATAAACATTTCCTCACACACACATCTCTTCATGTGTTTTCAAGACATCATGTAGTACTTTTTCCAAACCAATGTAGACATATAGTAGCTAACAATAACAATACAACCTGCTTTATAATGTATTTTTATTATATTGCGTGTTGTGGGGATGTCATTTAGTTTTGTCTGTACTGCAGGATATCTGGTCAACACACAAATGGTGGCACTCATGAGAAGTTGCCATCGGTATCTTTATAGTCATTTATTTCCAGTAAATGTTACTTTCCTATTTTCCACTAAATAGGCCAATATAGCCAAACCACAATGCTATAAAAAGGCAACAGTAAAGTGTTAAATATATTACAAATTTCATTAAATAATATAGACACTTGTCTATTTATTTTATGGAAATTCTATATAGTTATAGACATTTAAGGATATTTGTAGAGATTCCATAGTTGATTTTGTTTAGGTTAAATGTCTATAATTGGTCACCTTAAATGTCTATAATTGGTAACAGAAGCCATTGGTTTATACCAACAGCTTCCCATAGTTAATACTTCTCAAATTCACTCTCACGTGGTCATGTGTGACGTCATGAGCTGCGGTGCGATTTTCACTTCTAGCGCCTTATATGCATGTATTTACTGTTGCTTGGAAATCATCACTGTCTTGTCCGTATATTGCTTAATATAATGTACAGTAATTGACATCTTTGATAATGGCTTATGTAAGCCGAAAGCTTAGATTGGATTAAAAAATATGGACCAATATTGTGATTTTCTTTCTTCATTTAATGATGTTATTAAGTTTATCAGACGTTATGAAAAGAATTTACATAAAATAAATAGACAACACTTGTCTATATTATTTAATGAAACATGTATGAATATATATATATATATTTTATATGAGAATTATAATATTTAAAACCAATAGATCAGTTTGTTATCAAAAACTTAATCTAATTCTAGCAAATACAAAATTTCACTTAACCTGTTTTAAACCAACCATCTTCAGTGAAAGCTTTCTTAGTAGAATCTGGTCTTTGGAAGTATTCTTTGAAGACATTGGGTCCCCGAACAAATAACTCTCCTTGCTCACCTTCCATACCTATATTAACAAGTAAAGTAAAAATACAGTAATACAATAATTCAGAGTTGGCTACTTACTATACAGCAATCATTGGCAAGCTCATCTCTCAGGTCATAGCTAAGGTAGTTAAATGCTAAACTAAGTTAAACTTAGAAAATATCTCCACTAATTTAAAAACAACAAAAATGTTATGCAAAGTATCTCAAATTGAACTTTTCCTTTCTTTTATTGTCACAATTTCAAAGTTGATAAAATTATATATATCAATAGGTGATGCTATATCTACAAAGAAAATAGGATTTTTTTTTTTCTTACAGTCACTAAAATTGTAATTCATGTCTGTTTACAAGTTCCATACAAAATATGATTGTAAGGAACTTGCTGTCTTTAATAATACTTCAGAGAATGAAACTTCTTGATCTTTCTAATACTAGTAATTCATTCATAAGAATATGTAAGCTTGAAAAAGAATGAATAATTTGCCAAAGGACAAAATTAACTCAGTAGCTAAAACATCAAATAAAGAGATGAAAAAGTCACTTGGCAGTCAACATTCTTCAATGTTATTTTCCATTATCATGATCAAGTGATAATAATTTTTTTTTTATTTAGTATTCAATAAGATTTATTTTCATTCATCATAAAAAATCAACAGCGACAAGGTAAAGAACTCTTTACAATTTAGTCAAGTAATATCAATTTTAAATTTGCAACTTTTTCTATGACTACACGTACATATTTTTTATTTATTTTTTTTTTTTGCTACTGCATATATCTTAAATGTTTAGCACTGTAGGATGGCACTGTAAGTCGTGGCTGGGTGCATTTTCTTTAAAGCTCATGGACCCCCTGAAACCCATCCATGAACCCCAGGTTAAGAAACCCATTTTGTAGGTGGTTTTTCTCTGCAAAGCAAAACGCAACTTGCTACTGCAGGTAACTCAAATCACTGAATGATAGTGTTTGAAGTTCACTTGTGTTGCTCTGCTATGGCAACAGAAAACAACCTCAATTGAAATTGGCCACACCTACTGCAATTACAGCCCTATGAAAAAAATATTCTGTGGAAAAGAGGATGTAAAGTAATAAAAATTAACTCGAAATTTCTTTGATTTATTATCATGTCAGTAAATTTTGGCTTGAAATTTTTAGATGTGATATTGGTATCCATGGTTTAGGATTATTCTCATCTTTGTAAACAACACTATCACAATATTTCCGCTAGCCTTATTCTCCAGTTTTGTTCAGCAGTATGTGACATGCAATGATATTTGCTTAAAAATATTAAAATCAATGTCTTTTTTTTTCTCCCCAGTATTTTGATTAATAATTAGGTATACATGCCATAAAAACATCACATTTTTAAAATATTAATAAATAATTTGACTATTCAATAGTTAAATTACATGTACAGAAAATTGGAGTAGCAAAATAAGTAAGATGATAAAACTAAGAAATATAATCATTCAAACATATTAAATGGTTTACAAAAGGTTATCTTCACTCTGAGTAGAACGAAATTTAAATCAGTGAAAGATTTGTCACAGTCGCCTTTTTCCGCTCCCTACACAGGAATGAATAGGACACTTTGACCATGACCTTTTTGATAATGTTCCCTACACACTGTGTAATTTAGTCTCATTTCGTTTTAGAATTGTGCTAATTACTTTTTAATTCCTTTTGTGTTATGAACCTAGTCATAATACACCTCTTAAGCATTTTTAGACCTTAATTTTTTCATAGCAAATCTCAACTTATTGAGTATTTTGCGAGACCTATGGTTGTTGTTGATCTCCATTAATATAACATGGTGACTTCTCACCAAATCCAGTGTCCAGTCTGGACGGGCTATTTATTAAGTCACATTCCCATTTTTTTTTTTTTTTGTCTGCCAACTGGATGCAAGTTGGGTCTGTCTTTTTTCTCTTTTTACTGCTGGTTTCTTGCACATTTTTGACTCTCAGCAATTTGCCCCTACTTGCTGCCTGAACGTCATCCATAACCTTTTCCGTACACTAAGGTTATGATTACTATGGGTGGTTTTGACATTGGCCATAACAAGTAGATACACAATGCCAGCACTGCATTGCTACACCAGCTCCCCGTTCCTGCTGACACATCCAGTCTGAAGCCCCACCAGCAGCATTCATCTTCAACAACCAGCAGTGATCAACTTCGACTTAAACCTTTCCCGTATACTATCAGTTATAATAACTATGGGAGGTTTCGACACCAGCCTTGACAAGCATATACTCAATGCTTGCACATCAACGTTCCAACCGTCAACATGACTGGAGTGACTGTATCTCAACTTCCAACTGTCGACACCACCACACCTCAACATCCTGTCGTCAACACGATCTGTCAGACTACATTTCAATTACCAGACCATCTAACCCACGGCCTCTGCTTTGTAAATAAACATTGCATTAGTCATACATATTCTTTGTCAGATTTCATGTCTTTAATTTGAAAAAGTTTGCAGGCCTCTTGGGACACCATACCAATTCTGGATGCAACAGATTTTAAAGCAAATTAATTTACCTTTTGATATAGCATAGTCACAGTTTTTACGAACTCAAAAAACATTCTAGAAGTATTTATTTTCAAATACTAGTTCTTAGTCTTATTTTTGTAGATTTTTATCACAACTCACAGACTGCTATGCTATAAGCAGCATGGATCAGAAAAACTCACAACCATATCATTGGGAGTTTGTCTTCGCATAACAGCACCATTACCAGTTATGAAAAGCTTTACCAGTAGACGTCATTCACATGAGCCATATAGTCATATTCCTTAATTTATAAAATAACAATATGTGATTTACAATAAAAAGCAAGAGAAATAGGATAAAAGGACTGGTTAAAAATTTATGTCAATACTTCCTTTAAGAAACTTGTGCATGTTAGAAATTATTTTAAGCCTTTTAATAAATACCAGGTGAATTACACCAAGCTAAATTTTTCTTTATGTGGAGAAGTGTACTGTATTTTCAAGTTTACTTTGTACATTTACTAATTGTTTTAGATTTTGTAATATTTTATAGATGACAATCTATAAAAATACTTGGGTCCACTTTAAAGAATAGCTGTGTAGTTTAAGAAGCACTACACTATATAAAAATCAGAAGAAAAAATTCATTTTGAATAATATCAGCTTTGATTTAGTTTTGTCAACTTGTACCAACTGGTACCAATTTTGAATTTATCATTCATTTTCTGAGGTGAATGTGTAATAAGTTTCACAAACACTTCAAGGAAAACTTTAAAACCTTTTCTTATTCTTGGCTTGGCCACTGAGCTTCATCTACATATGTATGAAGACTGTGTACAACAAAATCCTTACCAGGTGTAATTTGAGTATAACTGCTATTCCCTTGGGCAATCACATTGTATCCATATTTGGCATAGACATTTGCTTTTGCAATACAAACATCTACCCAAGGCATTGGTCGCCCAACTGCACCTAAAATACAGAAATAGATATATATAAATGAGTAAAAAAAAAAAAAAAAAAAAAATACATATTTAAAAATGAGATTTTACTTTTATTTTCAGTTGGATAAAGTTAATTTTGTATGAAATCTTTTTCATGACATTGTATTTTTTTTTAACTTACAATTTGCTTCAAAATAAACAGATATTTAGAATTTTACTTTTTAACCAAAGCAGTTATTTCTAAAAAAAAAAAAGAAAAAAAGAAAAGTTCTTTGTTTTTATTATTTATACTACTATAATCCCTTGCTTTAATTAGCAAAATCAGATTAAGTTATTCAAAATAGATCGTTATGTTCTGCAATATTCTTATAAAATTAGGCAACCAATTTATGGTTAGACACATTTCCATTTATTTGAATTTAACTAGTATATGAACATTAAATATATAAAAGATATATTTGTGATATTGAAAGAGTAGAACTTTGAGATTGTCAAGAAAACAGAATTCTGGAAATAATTCACTAAGATCTTTGCCTTGAGCCAATTCTCCAAGTAGCAAAAAACAGTATTCCCCTTTTATTGATACATTTTTCTGCAGGTTATTAAAAACCAGAAAATATTTTTAGATAATAATGATTTAGTGATATAAATCTTACTAATTAACTCATAGCTGGGGGGAAGAGAAGAGGTGGATTTATGCTTTTCCCAAGGATATTTGTACATAAACGAATATAAGAAACCCAACTAAAATTAGAACTCATCTCTCTGATTAACAATTCTGAGTAATTATCCATTACACCACCCACTCATCCAAGGTTACATCTAAGTACTGACCAGGCTTGATGTTTCTTACCTTCAGTGATCATTCAGGAACCAATGTTTCAACTTAATATGGCCGTAAGCCCCCAATATTCCTCTTTTAGTTATGAAAGATGTGCAAACCCATTCATTGACAGATGAACTTTAACCATTCCATAAAAATGAGTTTGTAATCCACACTTTACTTTTGCAAAATAGCTTTCTAGATATTTGTTGGACAAGGCTTTGTTTCTTGATTACACAGTGTTAGTTATTTGTTAGACAAAGCTTTGATGAGGATCATACTCGCTATGGTATTTGAAGCCAAACTACAAACTGTTGTATGATCATGGGTGCATTTTCATAAATGTTTGCTGAACAAAGCCAATTTGGTAATAAAATCATTAACAATAGCCTGCAATATTTGTACATAAATTCTCACTTTATGGTACCTATTAGTTTAGTATTTGTAGAAATAGCTTTGAAATGAAACATCTGAAAAAAAGTAAAATGAATCTAAATAAAGATGGGACAGAACCTGGGATTCTAGGTCCATTCAAAGGATTTGTTAGTGCCATGCCAATCTCTGACATTCCATAGCGTTCCAATAGCTTATGGCCTGTAATTTCTTCCCAACGTTCCATGATTGGTTGTGGCAAAGAGGCTGAACCACTCACCATTAATCTGTAAAAAAAAAATAATCAGCATAATTTTCCCATACATATTAATAAATTTATATAAAAATGTACACAAATTGTAAATAATTTGAGTGTCAATAAAATTGTTTAACACAAACAAATTATGCTACATTTACCATATTTTGGCTTGACGTATTTAAAACTAATAATAATCTAGTGGATTCTTTATTTTAATGTCCTTGGTTGAGTTTCTTTTTTCAGTTAAAAATTTTGTAGACCATCTGAAAAAAAACATTTTCAAGGGCCTAAACTATTTGGAACAAAGGTAAAATGTAGCTAAAATTGTTTATTTTCATAGAAAATTATAGGGGCACTAAGTTTTAGTTTCAGATTTTCATAACTATCAAATTTATAAAAGGTGCAAAATTCAACAAAACCATTGCTAAAATCATGGTTTTGTTGATAAGTTTTCCTGAAAAATATGTTTTAATCCTAGACAGAAGTTTGCCCACAAAATGAAATTTCTGTCACATGGTCTTCAGACATGTGGGGGGAAAAATATAAACATTTCCTTAAACTGTCAAACCCTGGTCTGCTGATGTCATAAAAATAGGCAATTTTAAAATTGAGCAACATTCAAACAATAATACTGACATTCCTACAATAGGAATGAATATGGTTACAGCAGAGAAACAATCTGTTAGGTCATAAATGACAGGAAAACTAATTTGGATGCTGTATCTGACATCCATTATAAATTATAAACTCTCAAAGTGGACAGAATTTTTTTGCAGTTTGGCATTTCAGCCATTTTTAGGTCCTTATAAAAAATAAAAGTATATAAGACACACATAAGCTTTTTATATTTTGTAATCTACAGTAAATATCAACTATTGTTAACCAAATAAGAGTAGACAGGTTTGCTCTAGTCTAGTTCACACTCCTCCTTGATATTTTGAGCAGGAGTAGAAGTTTATCTCTTGTTTCCAGTTCTGCCTAAAATCTTTTCATTCTCTTTCACTCCCAGTAGCCCCTTGAGTTTTACTGGCATTATCATCTTGCTTGGGGTGAATTGATTAAAAAAGAAAAAATGTTTTATATCTGTACATGGAGCTAAATGTCAGAATTTTGTTGAATGACTTATTTAGCAAAATGCAGTGAAATTTGAAAATACTCTGATTTTAAAACAATTAAAAGCTACAGATCTAATATTTTGGATTTATCAATAAATTTGATCGAAGAACGCCTGTGAATTTTCCCACATTTTTCTGAGAGGGTTACCTGTAGCTGTTGATTGATTTCATAGCATAAATTTCAAATAAAAATTCAGCCAATAACTCTGTCTGGCTACAGACCTACTGATCCTCTCTTGTACATGGATTTAAAATAATTTTCAGACATTTATCAATGAAATCCAACACTTAAGACATTTAAATTAATTATTTTATAAATGTTTATCTTATTGATACTGGCAGTTAAATAAATATCTATTTTATACAATATTAAAGAAATATTGTGACTTTTTCATGTTAAGAACAAGTACATGACATGGATAAAAAACGTTTGCATTCTTTTTTTTACCACAAAGTTCTGATTGAATACCTGATACGATTCTTGCAAGTTGTCTTCACAAAATTCCTCATATAATTGTTTGTTTGTCCTCTGGAATCAAAGGCTTCAATTAGTTTAGCATAAATTGTTGGTACAGCCATGAAAACATTGATTCTCAATCCACCATTTACACCAACAGGGTTCAGCAATTTAGCCCAAATCTAGAAAAACAACTGCAAGCATGAGAATTTTATAGAGATATAGTATAGTATTCATAAAAATGATGGGATTATTTGCATAAGGTTCTCTATGCTCTGTCCAGGATCAATATAAAGTAGCGGCCATAATATAAGGAACAGAAACAATAAAGACATAAATATGTGTATTACTTAAAGTAATGCATGATTAGCAATGAAATTTTTACTGAATAAATATTAGGGTGTAATGCATAAATATTATACAAAGTTACAAAAATTTACATAATAGTTTTTTTTAAATAAAGATTAAATGGAACAAAGGAAATAAGCTACTGGACAAAAATTAAGGAACGATGTTAATTTGCATAAACTTTTAATTTACTTTGTTAAAAAACTCTGACGCTTTTCAACAATAAGTAAAAGTTCATTTATCATTAGGACTTTATTTTTAAGCAATATGGCAAATTCTACATGCAAAACGCTCTCTTTTGAAGAAATAACTCATTATCACTATCAAGAAAAAAAGTCAATTTCAGAAATTTCTGATATTGTTCATAGGTCTAAAAGTGTCGTTCATCGTGTAATTAGCAGGTATAAAACTGATAAAACATTAGATGCAAAACCAAAAACCAGCAGACCTTCAAAAACATCGCAAAGAGAAGATCGAAGAATTGTTAGAATATCTACAAACAACCGTTTTGAAATTGCTACATCAATTGCCTGTAAATTTAATGAAGAGACAGATAAGATCAAGGAAAACGGTTGCTCGCAGGTTAAAAAATGCAAGATTGCATGTTGGTATTCCAGCTTTGAAGCCTCTCATTTCAAAGCGAAACCAAAGGGCACGCCTGGAGTATGCAAGAGGACGTTGTTTGGACTGACGCACAATGGGATACAGTTCATTTCAGTGACGAGTCCAAATTTACTATATTTGGTTCTGAGGGCAAAACTTACATACACCGTAGAACAGGTGAAAGACTGTCTTCTCAATGTGTCAAGAAAACCGTTAAGTTTGGTGGCGGCAGTGTGATGGTGTGGGGAATGATTTCATCTGCAGGAGTTGGCCCTCGCATCCACATACATGGTAATATCAATGCTGAGATTTACAAAAGGCTTCTTCACCAGCATGTGTTACCAAGATTTCACCATAGTCTTTATGAATCTCCTATTTTCATGCAGGACAATGCACCTTGCCACAAGGCTCAGAAGGTTATGGTTTTATTTGAAGAAAAAATCGCCCTAATGAAGTGGCCAGCCCAGAGCCCCAACCTGAATCCAATAGAAAATATTTGGAAGATAATTGGAGAAAGGGCTCAGAAAAGAAACACAAAAAACCAGGATCACCTATGGGAATTATTGAAAGACAAATGGGAGGGAATTACTGCTGATTTTTGCAAGAAATTAATTAGATCATGTGGTCGACAATACAGAGACGTCATTGAAAATAAGAGGATGTTTACCAAATATTAAATTTTGTTGATATTTTGTTCACAATCAAGTATTAACAAGATTGTTCCTTAACTTTTGTCCAGTAGCTTATTTCCTTTGTTCCATTTAATCTTTATTTAAAAAAGAACTATTATGTAAATTTTTGTAACTTTGTATAATATTTATGCATTATATCCTAATCTTTATTCAGTAAAAATTTCATTGCTAAACATGCATTACTTTTTAAGTAATACACATATTTATGTCTTTGTTGTTTCCGTTCCTTATATTATGGCCGCTACTGTAGTACCTGTGTGCTCTATTAAAAGTCTCACACACACACACATATATTTTTTATTACTTAAACATTATTTTTAGTGGATACTCATATTTGAGTAGACACTCCATTTATTTATTAAACAGTATATTTATTTTCATCTATCAGCCTGGATATTAAAGAAATCTTATTAGAAAAATGTGTGCTCTCCAGCAGGATTTCTCAAATATTCAGGTTGGTAGACAAAATAAACAAGCAGACCATCTACTCAAATACGAGTATCCACTAAAAATAACATTTAAGTAATAAAAATCAGTCTGATTATATATATGTGTGTGTTGATGTGGAAGTGGCAGCTGCCATGCACTGTCAAATTTTATGCAATTTGAAGGTTCATCATAATGGAAATATATATATATATATATATATATATATATATATATATACTTAATCATTTTTTTCAATTTTAGATCTATAAAATGTTTATCATGGGTCATAAGAAATTTATAATCTCAAGAGACACAAGATATTGTAGAGTCATCAAGTAATAGGAATACAATGTTGGAAATTGTGGCAGAATTAAAGAGAGATCACAGAACATTAAAATAGAAATTGCAAAAAATCTGGAAGATAATAAAAAAATTATCACAAAAAGTGGCTTGAGAAAAATAAAAGAGCAATAACAAGAAAAATGGTTGATTATCAAGAAAATATTTGAAGAAATAGTGTTAGTGAAATTGTTCTAATTAAAACAGTTTGATAATTGTTTATTTTTATAAACTTATTTAGTCATGATGCTCATACCATCGCAAAATGACAATGTAATGCATAAGGTTATATCAATATTGCTTGTTTTAAAATGTAAAAAAAATCAATTTTTTCATTCAAGCCTCTTTTGCCAACTAGTATTTGTCACTTTTGATGTAACAGCTTTATTTTCAACAAGTGAATTGTGGATAAAATAGAAATCAGAACTTACTATATGAGGATCAAATTTTGTCAGCATGACACAAGTAGCACCACAGTGCAAAGGTGCCATTAGCACATTGACAATTCCATGAATATGATGCAAAGGTAATACATGAAGAATTACATCCCGAGAAGTCCATCCCCAAGCTAAAATCATAGCTTCTATTTGCGCATACAAATTGCCATGACTAACAACCACACCCTACAAAGATAGAAAATAAGAAACACTTTAACAACCTGCAACATAGATACAACAAATATTTTAAAAGGCTCAAATGATAAAAGAAATATATTAGCAGGATATATGCAAAATTGTTGAGTTTGAATAGATGAAAATGAACTGATTTTATCATTAGAAGAATGAATAGGCTAAATTTATTATTTTATTATATTAGTAAACTTGGATCTTCATGCCTGCAAAAAAACAGAATGTCAAAAGTACAGTTTTTCTATTGACACCACTAGTATTAGTACAGCAAAATCCAGTTCATTTATACAACAAAACTAAATTGAAAAAGTCCACTTCTGGATGTTAGGTGGGCAGGTTCTATAATTCAACCAATAAAAAGTTCCCACACTTTGCTCTAATATGGCATGTAAACATCACTTAGATTGCATAACATAATTACATGTATTTTATATTGCTCATATGTCTAAACTTCTTGCCTGCATATGTACACAAGTGTTAAAAATATTCGTTCTATTTTTGAACAGTGGTCTGTTCTAGAACTTTGCAAGTTTGTCTTGACAATGATGATGATTATTGCACCCTCGGTAAGTCTGTGTATTTGTGCATTAATCCAAAAGCTTGGAATACTCTGACAAACTAACATAGAACATGAGCTCAACTAATGTTCCTACTGGGATCCACAAACAAAAAAATCTTATTCATCCAATTACTGTTTTGATGTGCTATCCATGAAAGTTTGATTGCAATGACTGCCTCTTCTCTTGCTGGATGTAGCAGAAAGTATGCCATTTATATTTTTAATATGCCTTCTCATTTCCTTGCATTAAAAATAAAATTTATGCAGAAACCATAATTGTTAATGTCATGCCATCTTCTGCAAGATAAACATGTAGTGAATGTAGAAAATTATAGCAACAATACGAGCACGCTTGGAAACTGGGTATAAGGGGTTGCATCTAAATTGGACCCTTACTTTTAAGAGCCACAGAAATTTATTTTAATCATTTTTACTAGTAGGAAAGTACATATTGATAGATGGGGAAATGAATATTGGTCATAAAGAAATTGGGTCAAATCTAGCGAATTCTTTTTTAATGCCATCACTCTTCTGGATATAGATGATCATGTCTCGCCACAGATTCATTTTCTTTATTATTTGCAAGCTGCCACAACTCCTTGGGAAAGATAGTAGAGTGATTTTTTTTTGTTGCCATTTACACTGTTGTGTCTTTGTTATACCGGAACATACCTATTCTATTGTTAATAGACTCTCCCACAGATAATAATTAGTAATAGTAGCAGTCGCCAGGGGGCTCAGTGGAGTTGGTTGAGTCAGTCAATGTCGGACATTAAAATATCAACCACCACAACTAGATTGCTGCATCATTAACTATTATTTCAAGTTCCTAATGTTTTGTACGTCGAACCTCTTTTAGGACCAACTTAGTGAAATACAAGCCTGCACTGTGAAAACTACTCTACAACAGTCTTCTAGACTGGTTGCCATCCAAGGCTACCCTACAGTTTAATCTATAGCTGTAGGATGGATGGATGTTGGATTTAACGGCATGTCAACTCCTATTTGGTTCATTTTATGCCGAAGTCTTATTTATTTATGTATTTAAGATGGTTATATTGTATAAAAGGTTGGGAGGCTATTGGGTTTCATAATCTATTGTATTTTTTGGATTGCTTTTTCTTGTGATTGTTTCAGATTGTATATTTTCATAACTACATCCATGCGTGCAGATATATGTCTATAAACACATATACACTATTTGAAAGTGTTATATTTTGCTGAGGATCTTGATTTCTTTGAGAATGTTGTATATTTTATCTGTGTCTGTATTTTTAAAAATTTCTTTTAAGCCGTTTCCATTGAGATATTTTTGTCTTATTTTAGTTATGGTTTTGCATTCCAATAGGATATGTTTTATTGTGATTAGGCTTCCACATCTGCATTTTGGTGGATTTGTCTTTTTTAATATATAAGAATTGGTTAAGTATGTGTGTCCTATATGTATTCTGGTTATAATGACTTGTTTTTTCCGAGTATTTCCAAGATCATTTCCCCATTTTCCTATTTTAGGTTTAATTTGAAATAGTTTATTTCCGGTTTGGTTTTTTTCATGAATTTTGTCATTTGTTTCTTATATATTTATCTATTTTAGATTTTAAGTCTGTATATGGAATTTGAAGATTTTCGTCTATTGTCATTTTTAAAGATGATTTAGCAGCAGTATCTGCCTTGTCTCCTCCTTGAATGCCGACATAGCTAGGAATCCAGCAGAAGATGATATTTTTGCTTTTTTCCATTGAATGTAGTTTATATAGGAGACTTTGTATTAATGGATTTTCCAGTTTTTCCCCCTTTTAGGGATGTTAATACAGATAATGAATCTGAGAAAATAATATAGTCTTCTCCTTTGTTTTTTGATATGACTTTTAGTGCTAGTTTTATTGCGTAAGCTTCTGCACTGAAAATTGATGCTTCATTTGGCAAGCGTTTTTTGATAATTGTTCTTTTTGTTATTGCTGCGCTGCCTGTTTTTTCTTCGACTTTTGAGCCGTCCGTGTAAATACTTTGATAGTTTTGAAATTTTTCAATGTATGTTGTGGGGTGTGTTTTTGATTTATAATTTGTTTAAACTTAATATTATGTTTGGATTTTTGATTATCCATGGTGGTACGTTTGATTGGTTGGTTTTAAGTATTTGATTAGACTGTATATTATTTTCTTGGATGATTCCTTCCATTCGGAGTCCTAATGTTTTGATTTTATTTGTGTTAAGATTAAATTTCTCTTTATGATTTGGTGTAAGTACACAGTCGTGTGTGGGGTTAGAAGGGCAGGAAGAGAGTTTTAGATAGTATTGAGTTGCTAGTTTTTCCTTTCTTAGTTGTAATGGGGGTTCATTTGCCTGTACATGTAGACTCTCTATAGGTGAGGTGGGATAGGCTCCTAAAGCTATCCGAAGGCCTTCATGGTGTATTGTATTTATTGTTTTTAGATAGGACTTTCTAGTTGATTGGTAGACTATGCTGCCATAGTCCAATTTGGAACGGATCAACGTTCTATAAAGTTTAAGAAGAGTTTCTTTGCTAGCACCCCATTCTGTGTGGGCTACTGTACGCAGTAGTTGAAGAGCTTTAAAACATTTTGTTTTTAGGTAATTGATATGTGGTCTAAAGGTCAGTTTGCTGTCAAAAATCATTCCTAGAAATTTGTGTTGCTGAACTACTGGTATTTCTTCATTTTCTAGTTTTAGAGTTGGGTTATTGTGTAATTTTTTCAGTTGGCAGAAGTGTACAGATTTTGTTTTTGATATTTTAAAACCGTTTTCGAGTATCCATTTGTTTATTTGATGTAAGCATTGTTGGAGTTGTCTTTCTGCTGTGTTGAGGTTTCTCGATCTATAATATATTGTAAAATCATCAACGTAAAGGCTACAGTATATTCTTGGTTTGATGTTTTTTTATTATGTCATTTATTTTTATTTTGAAAAGTGTAGGGGAGAGTACACTTTCCTGTGGTACTCCCTCTTCTTGCTTTTGATAATCAGATAGTGTAATATCTATTTGTACTTGGAAGAGTCTATCTGTTAAAAATCCTTTTACAAAGTTTGGTAGTCGACCTCTTAGTCCTAGTTTATGCAGATCTTTCATTATACCATGTTTCCAGGTTTGATCAAATGCTTTTTCTATATCAAAGAATATGGCTATTAGATGTTGTTTGTTTAAATTGGCCTCTCTTATGGCTGTTTCTAGTCTCATTATGTGATCTATTGTACTTCTTCCTTTATTATATCCACATTGATATTTTGATATGTGTTTTTCTTCTTCTAGAAACCAACTCAATCTGGCATTGACCATTCGCTCCATTGTCTTACATAAACAGCTTGTTAATGCTATTGGTCAGTAACTTTGTGGATTGTTTCCCTCTTTGAGTATGGGAATAATTATCGATTTTAGGGGGGGGTGTTATACCGGAACATACCTATTCTATTGTTAATAGACTCTCCCACAGATAATAAGTAGTAGTAGTAGCAGTCGCCAGGGGACTCAGTGAAGTTGAGTGAGTCAGTCGATGTCAGACATTGAAGTATCAACCACCACAACTAGATTGCTGCATCATTAATTATTATTTTCAAGTTCCTAACGTTTTGTACGTCGAACCTAATTTAGGACCGACTTAGTGAAATACAAGCCTCCACTGTGAAAACTACTCTACAACATATATATATATATATATATATATATATATATAACTGAGATAGAAGCATTATTCATGAATGGTTAACCAAAATATAATGAAACTAAACTTATACTACTTACCTTTGGTGTCCCTGTTGTTCCACTGGTATATATAATTGTGGCTGGCTTCTCTCTAAACTCATTCAAAGTAAGCATTTTATCAAACATTTTCCTCCTTTCTTGAAACTGAGTCAGCCAATAGTTTTTAGATTTATCATAATCAGATTTGTAGTCCTGCTCCTTTATAACTAAAATTGGTACACCAACTTCTCGTAAAACCTCTTCTCCAACTTTACTAAATTCCTCAGTCACTACTAACAGTGACGATTGTGAGTCTTTGACAAAATAGCAAAGTTCTCTGATTGGGTGAGTCTTGCAGAGAGGAACTGCAACAGCCCCCGACATCCATGTGGCCCACTGTGTCACAACATATGACATGTCATTTTCACAAAGGAAGGCAATCTGTTGTCCATTTAGGCTTTGGTTTGTGTTGCCATGTATGCATGTAGATGTTATTTTCTCTGATAAGGCAGCACTGTAATGAAGCAAGTCACTGTATGAATAATGTCCATGTTGATCAACAATTGCAAGTCGCTCTAAATATTTGTCTGCTTGGAGGAAAACGGGTGAAACTGGGTTTGGAAGACGATGTATGCTGAAAGGACGGTAATGAAGGAAAAGAGGTTTCCATCGGTAGCAAGCAATTGACAAGGAAGTGAGAGGAGCAAGAGAAGGAGACATTAAGGGTGTCAAATGTATGAATCTGTTGATTAGTTTTTTGCAGGAATGAAGCAACTGATGCCACATGATGGTAAGTTTTCGAAACAGCCCAATCTGAAAATAGAAAAATTCTTATTAAAAATAAATAAAAAGTGTCAGTTATTTACTATTAATTTAATTTTAATTTCAGTTTACTTTTTTTATTGCATCTTCCTGTTCATCATTCTAGCATCATGGATGGAAAAAGAAAAGAAGAGCCTTGTTCTTTATTTCTCATTATGAAATTAAGTAAAGGGAGTTGCAATAAAAGGTAACTGAAACTAAGATAAAACACTTGTCAAAAATTGATGTTTGACAATGCTTCATTTACAAAAACCTGCTAATTTGTAATTCTTTTGTTAATTTTTATCAATAATTTCAAGTAAAATGTAAAGTCAATGTCCGCTCCATAGATATAGAAGAGGCTAGATAAAGCCTAAAGATTAAAAAAAGAAATTGGTTAAACTGTTATAAGGTCAACACAAAATAATAAACTAAGATTAATTTGCATAGGTACAGTAAATCCTAATAAACTCATGAATACATTTTCAGCTATTTAATGATGATGTTAACCAAATTATTTTTCTAATAATTTTCATTCGCCTAATCTCTCAATTGCGCTTTAAGTTTGTATTGTCAAAAATGTATATATAGGTAAATGAAGGACAGTTAATGAAATACACTTTTTAAAAATCAATATGCAGAGATGCTGATAGGTATGCATCCTATGTCCCTGATGCACAAAAACATAAAAGGACACAATAAAATCAAATCCATGTGTCCCAGGGACACACCTCAATTTTTCCATAATAAAAAATGATATATGTGGGTTCTCAGCTAAGTGGCAGAAAGTAGCTTTGTTTTACTTTGAACATATTTTCAGTGGAAATTTCCATGTCCACTGAAAATATGAGAGAATTTACCTCTTTTTTTTTGTGTGTGTGTGTGTGTGTTTTTCTTTTTGCTTCCCCCACAATTTCAAGCTAAATGTTGTCTGCTTTCTTCAAAACTGTACAATTTAAATTTGTGAGAAGGTTGGTGAGATAAAATGAATTACACTGGATGAGGTACAAGATGGAGGTTAGACGGCTTTAGTTGTTTCATCAAAGAAAGCTTTCCCCATCCTCTTCCCAAGTTCATAATTACAAATTATGAGTGGTTTAAAAAGAAAAAATAAATTGCTTTGAATTCTCAACTTAAATAAATTCATTTTCTTCAAAAAAATTAGGGGCCATTGAAAACGAACATTACCAATACCATTATTGGGGATGGATTAAAACCATGAGTACCAATAATTCTTTCAAATAATCATATGTACAAAAGACTTATGTTGTGTTTTTAGCACCTAGATGAAACATTCAAAACTGATCTTTTCTGTTACTTCACTCCAAAATAAAAAGCCTAGTAGCTGGCAATAATAAAGTTACAGGAAAAGAATCAGAGAAAAAAAGTCACAAATAATAATTGATATAACAGGTGTAGGAATTGCAAAATCAATTCAGGAAGTCATCTTAAAACTGGAAATCCCATCAACAAAAGTAATGAGCATGGGATCGGATAGAGCTACCATGACTGGGAGAAACAAGGGCTGCACAAGCATAATGCTTAGGTCCAATCCCCCACCTGGTGAATGTGCACTGTGTTGCCCACTCCCTGGCCTTGTGCACATCTCAAAGGGCATCTATACATACTGACTGTTTTGTTCCGTGCTAGTCCCAAATGAGCAGCCAAAATAAGACACATACAGAAACTACTGGAAAACCCAATGCTCACTTACAAAGAGCTGCATTTCATCTGATGGCTATCATATTACAATGCTCTTCAGACTGTGCATAAGACAATTGATAGTCTGCTGACATACTTCACTGAAGTGTCTCAGGATTTCAGCAAAGGACCAAAGTTAAATACCCTAAAAAAAAAAAAAAAAAAAGATTGCAACAGAAGTGCATTAGTATCACAGTTTTCATGATGGATGTCATGACCCTGGTTACAATCTTATCCCAGTTCCTGCAAACTGAAAATGTGGATTTAATAAGCATTGCATTTATTAATAACTTTATAAATAACATACACTCCAGGTTTTCAAACACCTGTTTTGTGCATTTGATGTGTTAAGTCTCCATCTCATCTGCTTCATGAGTGAGGAAGAGCTGAAGGTCTATGGAAAGAAAGAGTTGGAAATTCTAATTTCCCACTATGGACATCAGCAAACCCACAAATGGATTGAGGATGGAGAGTATTGCCAGATGACTATACAGACTGGAGAGGGACCTACTGAAGAAAGTTGTCAAAGCACAGCACTACCTCAGAGACAACATATGGAAACTTTGGGCATTGGTAACAAAATATTACCTAAAAGACTTACCTAACCTCAACATTCTTGCTCAACTGGCCACCACCTTGGCTATACATACAGCTGGCTATGAACAAGGATTTTCTGCTCAGAACCTCATCCTCACCCCTCACCAGAACAGGCTGTCATTGGAACATCAAGAGCAGCTTCTTAGGGTCAACATGGGACCCAAAAGGTCAGGGCTCTCTTTTGAAGAGGCAAAAGCCAAATGGAAAGGGATAAAGCAGAGAAAGCTGTACCCTGTGGATTACAAGTAATCATTGACAAATTCTCTTCACATTATTTCTCAACATATCAGGTCATCCCATAAGTTCTGTCCAAATTTTGAATAAAGAAAACAAGTGACCAAATGTTACATTTAATTACAGATTCAATCAACAATGTATTTTCCCTGATTATCTATGACTTCCTTCCATCTATTAACAAGCTTACTAATTACATTACTGTAAAATTCTTTTGGCTTTGATTCGAAGAACTCACTAATGTCAGTTTTAACCTCTTCCTGTGTTACAAAAGCTGTTTCTTCCAAATGATTCTGTAAGCTACAAAACAAACAGTAGTCTGAAAGAGCAAGATCAGGAGAATAAGGTGGATGAGGAATTTTCTCCCAACCAAGTTCTTCGATCTTTTGTGACGTGATTCTCACTGTGTGGTGTCGCGCATTGTCCTGATGAAACATCACCTCTTTTTGATTCACTAGAGCAGGTCTTTTTTTCCTCAAAGCTTGGTTCAAACGCTCTAATTGCTGACAATATATTTGAGCATTAATTGTTGCATTAGGTGGATTATTCCTTGGCGTTCCCACCAGATTGAAAGAAGAACCTTTTGCCCATGAAGTTCCCTTCTCAGCTGTGGCTGGGGTCCTTCCTCTTTACCAAGCCACTGTCTACAATGCTTAACATTTCAATAAAAGATCCATTTTTCGTCGCCAGTCACAAGTCTATCCAAAAAAGGTGAAACAAGTTGGTGAGAATGGAGAGAAGAGCAGATGTCAACTCGGGATTTGAGGTTGTTTTTAGACAATTCATGAGGCACCCATTTTACAAGTTTAGGAACTTTTCATAGTTGTTGAAGATGGCGATGAACAGTTGTATGGTTTGAACTGAGAACCACTGCCAATTCCTCATCTGATAAAGCAAGATTTTCTTCAAGGGCTACTTCAAGAAGCTTTTCATCAAACTCAACTGGACGTCCGGTTCAATCTTCATTTTCAAGGGTGAAATCTCCACCTCTGAATTTTGCAAACCATCTTCTGCAAGTTCTTTCATTCACACATTCCTCTCCATAAACTGAGTGAATGTTTCTAGCTGCTGAGTTTCCTTTCTTGAACTCATAAAGCATTATGTGCCTCAAATGATTCTTGGGTACTTCCATGTTAGCAGGGTTTTAATCAAAGAAAATTTAATTTTATTGTTCTCTGAAATAAAATTTGATCAGTTTAAATGCATCTAAACATAAAAATAATGTTCAGCTCCATTAGACATTATAAAATACTCTTTAAATTTCGTTCATTTAAAAAAAAAAAGGTAAAATTTGGACAGAACTTATGGGATGACCTGATACTTTTCACTGTTTTCATTAAGTTTCATTGTTGTGCTAAATGTTTCATAGTGATTGACTTGGTTAATTTTCTCAACAAGTAATCATTGACAAATTCTCTTCACATTAATCTGCTCAGAATACACCACAAACATATCTACATCATTTGATATTTCTCAACATACTTTCCACTGTTTTCGTTAAGTTTCATTGTTGTGCTAAATGTTTCTTAGTGATTGACTTGGTTAATTTTCTCAACAATTAAAATCAAATTTGATTTAATTGATTATTATCAGATTCAAGGGAGATTACTTACAGTTTTTAGAGGAAAGTTCACCTAATCTAATTTGTTTTTTTAATAAGAATCAACACAGCCAATTTATTAATGTAATTTACAAAAACAAAACAACTTCTTCTGTTATAATTCTCAATAAAAAATGTAATTTCTTAATTGAACTGTGATTAAGTGTTAAATACTGTTTTTTGTTATAAATTTGTTATTTAATTAAAAAAATAAAAAATGTTCTGGCAATTTAAAAAACAAAACAATTTGTTGTGTCATAATTCTCAAAAATAAAGTTTCTTAATTGAAGTGCAGTAAGTGTAAATACTGCTTTGTTTTTAAATGTAAGAATTTAATTTAGGAAAAAAAACTTTTGTTCTGTCAATTTAAGTGATTCAAAATGATTAAAATTGTTTTTTGGGGATGATGATAAAAGAAAAACTTAGTCTGGAGCCCTGCAGTTTAACACTACAACTTATTAAGAAACTATAGTTTGGACGGATAGAATTTCCTGGGGAACCATTAAAATCAAATCTGGGGGTCCCAGGATTCATTAAATTAAAAGATGTCAGCATCACTATATATATATATATATATATATATATATATATATATATATATATATATATATATATATATATGCTAAAATAAATATACATTAGTTCCTCATTGTTTTATGTAACTTTGAGTTTCATGCACATAGCATTTGTTACGAACAAATTAAAAACTGACCATAGTAATACCTCAATATTTATTGCCTACTGGCAAGATAGTGGAGCAGTTCATTTACATATGTGAAAAATAAATAAATTGTTTAAAAAAAAATTATTACATTATATATTAAAAGGTATCTCCACTGAATATTTGATAACTAAATTGAAAGCTAAATGACTAAAAATA